ACATACGATCCTGATACCGAGGCATTGTTTGACCCCCTAAACCAAAAGAAGCCAGCACCACTCAATCATCCTGCTCGAACCCCCGTTTGCAGGCTAGGAATACAAATTTAGATACCATATCCTCCAGAAATGGTTCCCCAAAATCGAATCCAATAAACGATAGAAAGGTTTATCGTGCTCAAAATTCTAGATCGTATACATCTGCCAAGCAAAATTTAAACTTTGTGACTCCTACCAGCAATCGTTTTGATCCTTTGCGTCAACACGAGCAGCAGAATAAACACAAAGCAAACTCGCCATTAGAAGACACGGAATTAAAACGTTTTTGCGATAATGAACCAAACTCGAGTTTTATCGCCGAAAATTCCATTTCAAACAATACCAGTGAAAGTGTACCTATAAACATGATTAGTTTGCCAAGGCCGGCGCGACAGTCAGTCACGTGACCACCAGTGGCAAAATCTAGGACAGGTCGGGATATTTAACCGTGCAAATTGACACTTCGGTTACCAATAATTATTGTGAATGTGTATTACAAAAATGATTTTTGTAGTTGTGATAAGAACGTTTTTACACAATAACAATATATGCTGTTTGAAAATACTTAATTTGAATGTATGCGGTTTATCATGTAAACACAATTGTCCTGATTTTTGTGAATTTATTGATAAATTTGACATTGTATGTTTTGAGGAAACCAAACTTTATTCTTTATGTATTGTGAATTTTGAAAACACTAAATTGCATTTCAAAAATCGCAAGGATGTAATGAACAGACGGTCAGGCGGCCTTTGTCTAGGGATTAAAAATTACCTAACACCATTTGTGCGCATTATTGAATCAGAAAGTAAACTTATTCTATGGTTTGTACGGTCCAAACAAGTAACAAAAAGTAATGATATTTTATATGGTGTCGTGTATTTGCCACCTGAATCATTTGATTTTTTTACTGGCGACCCTTTTGCAGAAATTCAAGGTGAACTTGATTCATTCAGTAATAAATATTCTTCTGTCTGTCTGTTAGGAGATTGGAACTCAAGAATAAGAAATATGAAAGATTATATAGAACCAGATTTTGACCTCTTTCATGAAAATGGATCAGACGATTTGTATTATGAATTTCAATCGGACATGGACTGTTTTAAAGATACAAATATTAATCTTGAACGAGTCAGTCAAGATAAAAGCTGTAATAATTTTGGTTATAAATTCATAGAATTCCTGCAATTCAATAATTTTTTAATACTAAATGGCAGGACTAAAGGTGATTTAATGGGGAAAAATACCTGTAAGTCGAGTAGTACCGTGGATTATGCTGTTTGTTCCAAAAACTTACTTTAACACGTTGAATCTTTAGAAGTTTTAGAATTTTGTCCTCTTTTGTCCGATGTATATAACCCTATATGCCTAACATTCACTCATTCACTCATTCACTCATTCACTCATTCACTCACTCACTCATTCATTCATTCATTCACAAATGTTAATTAATTTTTAATACATGTATGTTAAAGTCTATCTCAAGTGTATGAATACGCACGCCAAATGAATATTAGTCGCGAGCCATTGTTGATTAAAATATCGGTAATTTTCGCCATTGCAAAACATCTCGCCATTCACTAAATATTTGTTGTTATTTAAACAAACATAATCATGCTTCATTTAACAGGGTTTGTAATTCATTACTAATGCTTATAGCACATTACCTTTAATTATTTCTTATATTTTCGAAATATTTATTTTATAGTTCACAGCTCGTGTATATATAAAATTCTTCCCCCTATCTAGATTTTTCCAATTATGAAAATTAACGTCAAACTTTTGCTTGTAAATTTGTCAAATCACGACCGATTTTAAAACATGATTATAGTTTCAAAATGCAGGTTAGTCTATTGTGTAAAAATGATAATATACATTTTAAAATCCTGCCACATATACGACAGGTCTTCAAAGAAATCACCCTACCTTGATTTGCTTAATACAATCTGCAATTTCAGTTGAAAACGCGCTGATATTTTGCCTCTTATACTATTATTATTTTAATATTTTATAAAAAGGTGTTGTAAAAACTGTGTTATGCCAATATTTCACATAAATATATCAAAATGTACGAAAATTAGTGCCTATCATCAAAATATCGTATCACCTTACCTGTAATTGGCAAGTATATATATTTTTGTTACATTATATATACATTATGGCTATAATTTAAAAAAAAAATAATTTAAAAAAATATTGTTGTTATTTGCTTCTTCATAATGCCGAATTTCACCTTCTAAATGTGTCAAAACATTTTCATTTTCAATAAGAAGTTAATAAATTTCTGTAACAAATGTATTTAGCATGAAGATTAGCAAAGAATATCATAAATGAATAAACATTTAAAAAATATGATTTTGATTAGATGATTGCCTAAAATTTCTTTTACCGTTACATAATTATTAAAGCAATAAAATTGGGCGGGGTTTGGCTATTATAGTTCTCGTTTTCAATTACCAATGAAAAAACAAAATTATCATTCTGCATATAAATTGTTTGGATTGCAATATAAATCAATGACATATCTGATTGGCCCCTAATGCATGTTCACCCCCCCCCCCACCCAAAAAAAAAGCTTGTGAAAGACATAATCATCACAGGTCATTATTTAGTTAACATATTACGCAACAGAAGTGCAGATCGATCAATTAAGTTTTATTACCCTAAAATCAGATTGAGATAGCATTGCATGGTGTGAAAAATACAAATGACCCCTCTTTGGATATATCACTAAAAGTAAAATGTGGATCATGAATGAATGAATGAATGAATGAATGAATCACTCACTTACTCACTGATTACAGATGTTTTGATGTATAACCCGGAGGTGTAACCGACATGTTGTCGCAAATAGCGAGTGTATATATACAATTAAGTTATCGGAGTCAGTTGATGACCGGTTGAGTCAAGACTCCGTCGGAACCTGAAAGAACTCCGTCAGAATCCGTCGGAGTCGATACTTAAATATTTCATGTATCACGAGTTTCATGCTATTTTCAGGTTAATTGTTACCTATATAAAGGGAATGAAATTGGAAACCGGGGTTATTAGTTTGGGATTAGTTTAGTTGAGATGAGTTGTGTTAAGAGAAAATTACATATGAGGATTATTAAGGACTATTGTCTGTAAAATAAAATAAAATAATTGGATTTATAAAATAAAGAAAGTTAACAAGAAATTATTGTGTTTTACTTAAAATAAAATAAATTCCAGTGTGGCAAAGAAATAGAAATCTACAGTCCTAAAACTAAAAGTTATTAAACTTCGCCACATTGTTTGGTCCCGCGAACCGGATGACAGTCAGTGGATAACAGTCAGTGGATAACATTCAGTGGATAACATTCAGTGGATACAATAAGTGAAGGAGAGTGCTTTTAATAAGAATAATGATTTGGATATTGTTCAGTGAAGAATTGTTTGTTATCTTAGATAAATTTATTTGGTGAGTGTGACTTCAACTAAAACTAAAAATGACTAAAGTTAAACATTTAAAAGGTGTTAGGACAAAATTTAGAAATATTCTGCAGAAAAATATTGATTTTGGAAACGATCTGTTTAGTATTGATATCGAAAGCTGTAATATTGAGAAAAATGTGCTGGAAACAAATAAATGTATTCAAACTTTAAAAGTGTATTGTGAAAAGTTAGAAGTTCAAAGTGAAAAATTGGCAGCAGCAATCGAAGAAGGTGATTCAAAAGTAATTGAAACAATTACTGAAGAAGATTGTGAACTGTGTTCTGAAGCTGTAGAATGCTCTATAAATCTACAACAATTTAAAGAAATGCTTCTCAACGAAAAAGAGAAGAGCGAAATGAAACATGTTAAAAGTGAATCAAGTGTAGAAACACATTCAGATGAGTTTATGGCACTACACAAGGACATGCAAAAACTCATGCAGCTACAAATTCAACAACAAGAAAGACTACTGGACATTGAAGTAAACAAAGGTAAACATTCTTCTACAAAATTACCTAAACTAGATTTAATATCATTTGGAGGAGATAAGACAAAATGGAGTGAATTCTGGGATTCATTTAAATGTTCAGTGCATGGAAATCAATCACTTTCAAATAGTGAAAAATTCAATTATTTACGAAATAAAGTATTCGGAGAGGCTCAACGTGCGATCTCAGGTCTAACAATATCGGACGCTAATTATAAAATTGCAATCGATATCTTAAGGGAAAGATTTGGAAAAGTGCAAGAAGTAGTTGACTTACATTACAATAAATTAATCAATTTTGAGCCAGCATCGAATAAAACCGGAAGTTTAAGAAGCTTGCTCGATACAGTTGAAAGGCATTTACGCAGTCTAGAAGTGTTACATCAAAGATATTGATCAAGCTGTGTTTGTGTCAATGATAGGAGCTAAACTACCTTAGGAAGTTCTTGTTCAGTTAGAAATATTAAATGGGTCGAACAATGAGTGGAGTATAGACAAGCTCCGAAAACGATTGAATGAATATATTCTTGCCAGGGAAAGAGCAGAAAAGAAAAGATAATGTGTTGGAAAAGAGAATACATGCATCGTCTATTCAATCAGGATACAAGCAAAATTCAGCTCAACTAAGGAGCTATACATATTCAGCTCAGTCAAGAAATAATACAAATTCACCCCAACCGAGGAGTTATTCGAAATCAGCACAATCAAGAAGTTATTCAAGTTCTGCTCATGTGCTTATAGTGAATAACCCTAAGCAACTTACACAAAGACAACAGACTGAAAATTATGCAGATAAATGTCGTTATTGTCAGCAGAAACATTGGAGCGATGAGTGCACACAATGCCGAACTATAAATGAAAGAAAACAGCAATTGAAAGACAGCTGCTTCAAGTGTTTAAAGACAAGTCACAAATCAAGTGAATGTAAGTAAAACAAACAAAATTTGTGCACACTGTGGTGAAGTGAACAAGCATCACAGAAGTTTGTGTCCTCAAATATTCAAGGTGAAGGAATCAATGACGCATTTAGCAAACGAAGAAACAGAATATAAAGAGACTGAAAATTCTGAGGAAAATGTTCTCGTGTCGTCAAATGAAATGGTTCTAATGCAGACGGCGATTACAGATATTAAAAATCCAGATACCTCTGCAACACAGTCCGTTAGACTTTTGTTGGACTCTGGGTCTCATCGGACATATATAACTGAAAACTTAGCAAGAAAGTTACATCTCAAAGTAACGGGAGAACAGGAAATAAAACTTGTAACGTTTGGTAATAATAGTACGCAATGCATCAAAACAAAATGTGCTAACATTGATGTTAAACTGAAAAATGGTGAATACCATTCAATCAGTGTGAACAAAGTTCCGACAATAAGTGGCAATTTGCATCGAAGTCCAGCAGGTGTTTTGGATAAGGAGCACGTTAAACATATTATTGGAAGTGTTGATTTAGCTGATACATTACTAACTAGAAACGAAACATCATCAATAGAAATGTTAGTTGGTAACGACTATTATTTGGATTTTATTCTGTATCAAAAGATCGAACTAATTCCTGGTTTGTTCCTTCTTGGGTCCAAGTTAGGATGGATCCTTACCGGAAGAACTTTTGATCAAGATAGCGATGGCCCATGTATGCTTATTCTAACGCATGGTAATAATGCAACAAATACAAGTTTATTTGCCGATGTGGATAGTGTTGTACCTGTGAAACCAAATTTAGAAGACTTTTGGAATGTGGAGTCAATAGGTATTATAGAAAAACAAAATATCTCAGATGATGAACATGCAATGAAAATGTTTCAGGATACAATTCAGTTTGAAAATGGCCGATACCAAGTCACGTGGCCTTGGACTGAAGAATTTCCTGACTTACCTGTGAACAGGGACTTGGCAATAGGTCGCTTAAAAAGCTGTGTTAATAAACTAAAAACAAAACGTGAGTTAATGATGAAATATGATGAAGTTATGAAAGATCAGCTAAGTAAAGGTGTTATAGAGAAAGTTGAAAAATCACCAGTAGATGGTTTGGTACATTATTTGCCACACCATGCTATTATCACACCGCAGAAAACAACAACTAAGATACGCGTAGTATACGATGCTTCGGCGAGAACAAGACAAGAAAATAAAAGTCTAAATGAGTGCATGTATAGGGTACCATTAATGCTACAGGACCTCTTTGGTATGTTACTACGATTCAGGATGCATCCAATAGCAATCGTTGCCGATATAGAAAAAGCATTTTTGCAAATTGGATTAAAACCTAGTCAGCGTGATGTCACAAGATTTCTTTGGTTGAAAGACTGTAAAAATCCTACTGTAGTTACTGACAATATACAAGAATTTAGATTTTGTAGGATTCCTTTTGGAGTAATCAGTAGTCCGTTCTTATTAGGAGCAACGGTAGACTTCCATTTAAAATGTTATGAAAATCCAGTTGCAGAAAATCTAAGAAACAACATTTATGTAGACAATGTTATCACCGGAGCTGAAAACACAAGTGAAGCAATACAGCTATATACAAATTCAAAGGCAATGTTTGCAGATGCCTCGATGAATTTACGGGAATGGATTACCAATAGTGATTTTGTAAATAAATTCATTCCAAAGGAAGACAGAGCCGATACGAAAAGTGTTAAAGTACTTGGACATCATTGGAATGTCAATGAAGATACAGTTACAATAGCAGGTCCAAAAAACAAATCAAATGAACCGGAGTGGACAAAACGTACTGTGTTGAAAACAATTTCGTCGGTTTTTTATCCACTTGGCTTGCTATCACCAGTACTCTTACGAGGAAAAGTGTTTATTCAATCATTATGGCAGAAAAATATCGACTGGGATGACAATTTGACTAAAGAAGATCAAGAAAAATGGTTGTCTATTTTAATAGATATTCGCAAAATAGACACGTTGCAAATTCAAAGATGCGTTTGTGCGTTCACAGGACATTCTAAGAAATATTTATTGTTATGTTTCTGTGATGCATCGGAAAAGGCATTTTCAACAGTGATATATCTGCATGTTTCAGAGAAAAATACAACCGATGTAAATGTAATATTTGCAAAGACAAGACTTGCGCCTATTAAGAAACTAACAATTCCTAGGTTGGAGCTTCTAGCAGTTCTGATCGGACTGAGGTGCTTAAAATTTGTTAAAGAGCAATTAAGAGTGCCTATTGAAAAGCAATTTTTATGAACAGATTCGAAATGTGTTTTACAATGGGTTACGTCGGATAAGAAATTACCGTTATTTGTAAAGAACAGAGTCAGTGAAATCAAAGAGCACATTGATGTTAACATGACATACATACCAAGTAAAGAAAATCCAGCAGATGTTGCATCCCGAGGGACAACACTGGAAAAAATAGCAACTGACTCTAATTGGTGGCACGGTCCTAAGTGGTTGTTGAAGCCTTCCTCTGATTGGCATACAGATTATAAAAAAAAACGATGATAGCTCACAAATAGTTGAAATGGAAGAACAAACAAACAAACAAGACAATAAAGAGACAATGTTAATGTTAGCTAAAATTAATGCGGAAGAACATAATAATAATCCTCCATTTGACATTGACAGTAAAAGATTTTCTTCTCTTACAAAACTGCTAAGAGTAACAGCTTTTGTGTTGCGATTCATACAGAAACTAAAGAAAGTTAAAAGAAAATATGGTTATTTAGAATGTGAAGAATTGTTAGAAGCTGAGAACATGTGGATTAAGCATATTCAAGAAACTCATTTTCAAAGTGACATCAATTCTATTCAAGCTAAAAAAGGTACAAATAGACAACAACAATTAGGGCTATTTCTTGACGAACGAGGGTTATTAAGATGCACTGGAAGGCTTGAAAATGCAAATTTAAGTGAAGGTGCCAGACAACCAATACTTCTTCCAAGAAACGATCATTTTACTGAATTGATTGTGGAAAAAACGCATAAAGAACTACTACATAGCGGTGTTTCGCAGACGCTTGCAACAACGAGGAAAAGATTCTGGATTTTACATGGTCGTGCAACAGTGAAAAGAGTGTTAAATAAGTGTGTTGTCTGCAGACGCCACGAAGGTGGTTGCTATAAAATGCCACCATTGTGTTGTCTACCGAGGTCAAGAGTGACAGAATCAGTACCATTTTCAAGAACAGGACTAGACTGTTTTGGTCCAGTGTACTTGAAAACAACAACAGGTGACGAGAAAAAGGCATGGGTATGCTTATTAACGTGCTTAGTAACTCGTGCTGTGCACCTTGAACTATTTTGTGACATGACCACAGAAGAATTTCTCTTAGGTTATCGTCGTTTCATAGCTCAAAGAGGTACTCCATCGCATATAATTAGTGATAATGCAAAGCAGTTTAAAGCCGCTAGTTTAGTGATAGATAAGATATGGCATTGTATATTACATAGTCATGAAGTTCAAAGCTACTCTGCAAATGCAAACATCCAATGGAAGTTTATTATAGAGCTCGCGCCCTGGATGGGAGGATTTTACGAGAGGCTAGTCGGTCTTGTAAAAAGATCATTCAGAAAAGCTGTGGGGCGAAAACGCTTAACTATCATTCAAGCTCAAACACTTATCAAAGAAATTGAAGCCGTAGTGAACTCAAGACCTTTAGTCTATATTGGTGATGATGTAAACTCTACAATTGCATTAACACCGAGTCATTTTCTTACGTTGAATCCAAAGATCGGTATTCCACAAGTTTCGGACGAAAATGACAGTGAATATTTGCCAACAGAAAGCTCTTCGGAAAAGTTGTTGAAAATTTGGAAGAAAGGTCAAAAACTTTTAAATAAATTTTGGCAAATATGGAAAAATGATTACTTACTAAGCTTACGAGAAAGAATGCAAACACGTTTGAAAGCAAGTCGTATTCAGTCGCCTGTAAATCCAACAATTGGAGATATTGTTATTGTAAAAGAAAACTTTTCTCGAGGCAACTGGAAACTGGCAAAAATTGAGAAGTTAAATGTCAGTCGAGATGGTGCTATAAGATCATGTCAAATTAAATTGGCTTCAGGAAATGTTCTGAATCGTCCAATGAATTTACTTTTTCCCATTGAAACAACTCAAAATAATATAGTTACAAAAGAAAGAAGTGATGTAAATGTGCTTGAAGAGCAATTAATAGGTTCAAACAGAAACAAAAACAAGATGCAAAGTTATCAGATGTCCGAACGTAATGTACGTTCTGCAGCATCAAAAGCGTTAAAGGCAATTAAACAACAGTTATCCGAATAAAAAGTGAATAGTTAAGGCGGAGTTTAATTAAAAACTATGTTCACTTTAACGTTAACGATTGTACACTGTGAATGCTCCGCCGGATATTTGTTTGTTTACGCAAGACTCACATGTACAAATAACCTCAACGGAGCATAGTTACTGTGTAAAATTACCCAAAGTTTTTCTCACAAAAATCGTGCAAATCATGGAAATAGCATATAAAATAAGAAGAAACTTTGTATTGTGTCATCATTTCACAGTAGACACCTACAGATAAATATTAGAAAAATCGCAAAAATATTAAAATGTATCAATGCGATACTTGTCAAAAGATGTATAAGTATAAGAGAAATCTACTACGACATGTTAAAGAACGACACAGAGAGGTTGAACATTGGAATTGTCCTGTTGAGGAATGCACATCCAAATTCATTCGTCGGGGATATTTGTGCAAACATTTGATACTAAAACATGGCTACACATCATTGAAGTCACGTGAATCTGCTATATCAGCCACCAGAGGAAACGCGTATTCACAGAACTCATACTACGATGACGTCAGCGACGATGATTCTATATTAGATTTATTGTCATACAACGACACACACAACGACTTTGGGCCAGTTTTAGACAGTTTTGATTTGAACATGCTTGATGAAACAAACAACAGTCAGTATGATGACGTCAGTAGAAATGACGTCAGAGACGTAGACGTAAATGATTGTCAGGCAAGTGTTGAGTGCAAGGATGTTGAAGTTCCAATTGAAATAAACAATAGTTGTAGTGAACGTCAGAATGATATTTGTGACTCAATAAGTGACGTTAACGTCAACGTTAACGTCAACGGAATAAATGGCAACCAAAAGGATTCTGGACAAAATACAGAAATTAAAAACAGTGAAACTGAAAGTGATAGTGAGAAGGAGGACGGTTATAGTGTCGTGAACAAGTTTCTCCGAGGGAGATAATATTGACGTCGACGTTGACAGTCATTATGATCAAAACACAGAAAATTCGACGTCTGAAAGTATTGTTGATGAAAATAACAACTGTTGTTTGTATAGTAAAGACACAGATCTTTCCGACGACGGCAGTGACAACGACGCTATCAATAATAACGTTTGTGATGAAGATATGGTTATTATTTCAAGTGACGGAGAATCTAGTGGAGGAGACAGTGACCCAGAATATCAACAAATCGAACTAGCCACGTCTCAATACAAAACCAAAGTGTGGAACTTTACATTTAGACAAACGTTATGTATACGTCAAGGACAAGAATACGTTTTAGGAGAGAATATTGAATGTGACTATTTTGAGTTTGACAAATAGACTAAAAAATGTGTTCGTGTGTTTAATTATGTCAAAAAGACTGGTGTTGCTTTTCAATATGAGCACAAGAATTTGAGACTGCCATGAAAATATTGATCTTATTTTGTATATTTTACAATTTCTGTATATATTGACTTGGAAATGATATTGTTAGAAAACATTTTGATTGAAATGATTTTGTAATAAGTAATTACTAGTATAATATCAAATTTACATATGATAGATGAATATTAACGGTTGTATAATATCTGAATACTTGAAAATGTTCTTATTACATTATATAAGAATATACAGGATAAATATTGTTTAAATTTCAACACTTTAATTTGAACTTAAAACTTTGAAGTTATTGCAATGCTTTGTTTATTTCGCTTTGGTGGGAGTGGCGCAAATAGCGAGTGTATATATACAATTAAGTTATCGGAGTCAGTTGATGACCGGTTGAGTCAAGACTCCGTCGGAACCTGAAAGAACTCCGTCAGAATCCGTCGGAGTCGATACTTAAATATTTCATGTATCACGAGTTTCATGCTATTCTCAGGTTAATTGTTACCTATATAAAGGGAGTGAAATTGGAAACCGGGGATTAGTTTGGGATTAGTTTAGTTGAGATGAGTTGTGTTAAGAGAAAATTACATGTGAGGATTATTAAGGAATATTGTCTGTAAAATAAAATAAAATAATTGGATTTATAAAATAAAGAAAGTTAACAAGAAATTATTGTGTTTTACTTAAAATAAAATAAATTCCAGTGTGGCAAAGAAATAGAAATCTACAGTCCTAAAACTGAAAGTTATTAAACTTCGCCACACATGTAGGGCAATACAGTGATATAGATATTGCCTAAAAAAACTTCCAAAATTACATTTGCGGCATTACGAACAAATATATAATATATATATATATATAACATGAGAAAATTGGATTTTAATTTTATTATAAAAATCGCAAGTAGGAAAATAGCCCGTTGAATTAAATTTTTCATGAATATTGAATCAATAAAAAACAATTTGTTAACCGTTATTATCGAAAATGGCTAATAAAAACTTAAACATTAAAATGTTTGGAAAAAATGTTTTGACAAAGGACGGATGAACACTATTTTGTTATTTGATAAATTTACTATATAATACACAATTTAGCTCAAATAGGCCGCTTTAAGAGAATTCATATGAAAAATTAAAAGAGCCTGTCAGCCTACTCTAGCAATCGATTGACCTCGGCATTTTTGTAAATGATTTATGGTAAAAGTAAAAATATTATGTCATATTAACAGTTACTGTAATGTATACATTCTTGTAGGTTTTAAAATGCAAATATGAACATTATAGCGATGCATTTAAAGTCATTTTTCATGCCAATTATAAATAGTTTAAACATATTTTATTGCATTAAATACATGTTTACAAACATATTATACAAATAATGAGTATATATCAAAATGCGAAAGAGTTGGGCAACAAGTTCTCACAAATTAGATAAAGTCCTTCCCAGAAGAATCATACATGTGACTGTATGTATATATAACATAAAAATAGGTCCTGTACTTGCCGAGACCTTGTATGTATATATTTGGGTCTCAGCAATTAGGCAAGTACAGCGCATGTTTTATATTACATAATGGTCGTTTTAAAATTCAAGAAGT